TATTTATTATTAATCATCTAAAATATATAATCATGCGTGAATAAATTGTATATTAATCTTATATATAATGTTCTTAGATAATCATTACTTTTACTGAATTCAAATTATACTAATGAGGCATTTATTAAATAAATAAATATATAAATTTAACATCTTTTATTTATTTTGATAATAAATATATATTAAATTTTATATTAAATATAAATAGATTATAACAAATATATTAAATATAATCATATTAATATAAATAGATTATAACAAATTTTTTAATTTTAAACAAAATAATTTATTGGTTTACAAAATCGATTTAATATCGTACATAAACAGAAAAAATTTTTAAATTTTAACATTTAACATCAAATATTGTTTAATCCTCTAAAAACTTTTAATAAAAAGGTGAAGTTAATTTTATAAAGCTACTATGTAATAGCTAAAAATTAGAAAAAGATTAAATTTTAAATTAATTTTTTTTTCATCATTTTCATTTTCAATTTTAATCTTAATGTTAAATTTGATTAATAAAAATTTAAAATACCTCATTTTCCAATAATTCTTGATTTTCCATAACTGTTAAAAGTAACTGCTATGTGCTGTGTGTATCTTAATACGATATCATCGCTCGGAGTACGAATCACGACTGAATGTCTGTCTAGATATTTCGAACAAAATACCCGAATTTTTTAAAAACATTGAATAACCAATAGATTTCATTTCAAAGAAAAATGCATCCAATAGACTTCATTTTCAAAGTAAAACAAATTCTATTGGTCGTAGTGCATTTAAAAAAAAAAGTCAAGAGTCATTCTGTTAATGTTCCGAGAACGATTAAGGCCCTTTCCTAAAGATAACAAAGGAAAAAAAAGTTTAAATATAAAAGTTTAAATTTAGAATAGTTAAAGAATGCTTCAGAAACCTTTAGGCTTTCTAAAATTCAATATTTGTTAGAATAACAATACCTTCAAGATCTGTCAACCTATGTCAATTTTTCAGGAGAAAATAGGAAAAAATGGAATATATAATAAATAGAAGATTTTTCGTTAATGGACAAGTTTGAAAACTTTGAGAAGAATGCTTCAAGAAACATTCGTCACACTAATTAAATCTAGCATGATATATGACTAAACAGAAAATACAATATAGTCATGGTTACAATATGGTCTATTCATTTTAATTCTACCTGACCTTCAGTGGAGGGAAAATTTTGGGAGGAAAAATAGATAGAAAACGAAGAAATGTGCAAATGAATACAGAGCTAAGCGCGTCTGTTAAAGCTTACAGTTAAAGCTTATCGCGCATGCGTATGATTCATCCCTTCATCTGAGAACACTGTTTCTATGCATGTGTTTTGCATATGTGTAAAATATTAATAATTAAATATATATTATAATAATAAATTCTAAAACATATATACGAGAAAAGAAATTTTCATTAGAGAATTCTATGAAATAGTAAATACGAACACATTTTTACAAACTACATAAATAAATGTTATTAATGAAATGCTATGTAAGTTAATGACCCTATCCGTGCAACGAGCGAATTAGGCTGCTAAATATTTAATTTCCATAACCACAGGCAAGCAATTTAAAATTCTGCATAAGAAAATCTTTACTAGAGATCGTAACAAGATCTAAAATTAGGTGAGAATTTAGAAATGAAATATAATGGCATTTTTTGTACTCATGCAACATATTATAAGAATAAATTTTTGTATCATTAAATCAGAAATAATTTAGACATTAATTGAAATAAGACAAAATTATACATTTATACGTGACGTAAAGTAACATATAAGCTACAAATACTGACAGAGAATATTTATAATGCTATATAAATGCACAATGAGCAAAGCGAAGATTCTTGCCCCTCTACAATAATACTAATGATATTAATAATTGTAACAAATATTTATTTTAAAATATTTTTGTATTATTAAATTTTTATCTGTAAATATTTATTTTGATAATCTTGTATCTGTATTATTTACTATTGATAGAGAATAAAGCAAAATTATAGATTATTGTAACAGCATGAATTATTAGTTGCCAATTCATATTTCAACAATATATTTTAGTCGAAACCATTTAACCAGTTAACAAGGTTTCTCACCTTCGGTATATTACACAGCCTTTCTCGCTCCTCCACATCTAACTGTAATTCATACATACTATTCAGTCAAACAACACTCTTTTTTTAGTTAATGTTAGATCTATAACGAATGTTATACATGGGATGAAAAACATGAATAATATTGGGATAAAAATAAATGTAAAATATATTACACAAACACGACATTGTAGCAAGGTAATAACTTGCAAGATGTTATTTAAAACAAAATATTGAATATGTAATTTATGTACATTTTCTCTGTCCTTCTAATTATTTTAAGTTAAGTGGAAGCAATCTATATTTATATAAATTTCATACAATATATGAGTACTATGTAATACGTATACGTATACATTGAAATTGAGAAATTGGTGGACAGAGTACGGATATATTACAGGATTTAATGCAGCTTTGAAATATTGCATAGGGAGCGTTAATAAGCCAGCTATATTGTAAAATATAAAATGCTATAGGATTAAATACTTACAGAATTGTTCTGCGAGATGGTGTCCACCTGCTGCATCTTGACTTCGTTTCTGCAACAGAAAGAGCATGGCGCGATGAATTTCATTCATAAAACAAAGGTAATAAAACAGAAACGTCGCGTTAGTTAATGACTTATATTAAAGAATTTTCTAAAATATATTAACATCTTTACCAAAGAGAAAAAAAAGTGTCAATATTAATCCTAAGATAGCAGACGCTGGGTCCATGTAGATCCATGCGTACTGTTCATGTAATCGTGATTCTATTTTACATCAAATACAACAATTTACAAATACAATAGCACAAAAGTCGAATCGAAAATTTTATTTCGAACGCAAAGACATAAAATTCAAGATCCAAACGAATCTGAAGATTGCCCTCAAAACGACCGGATGTATGAGGGTTAAATTTCCTCTAATCCTCTAATAAACTAACATTAGTTAACATTTAACAAAAGGAACAAGTTTTATCTTTTGATTTTATTACGTTCGTTTCACTTTTTTCCGAGGATTGGGACTTATCGAATTTTTCTCAAGAGAACTTTCTCAACTTTGCAATCCACATAATCTGGCACTTTATAGATGTAATAGTAAAGGAGCATGTTCAAGAGCGATAGCTTACTAAATGTACTTTATTATGCATTTCACTTTTTTTTCCAAATAATCGTTTATAATATATGGCTCATCTGCCTCACGATAATGAGCTTCACCTACCTTTCCGACATATATGATACATAAATGCTACGCAGCAGGTAACTGCCTTACGTTGATGCTTGACGCTATGAGGCTTCATCAACAATTGAGATGGCAAGTATATATTCTGAATTGAGCATGGCAGCTCATTAATTGCTTGCCAAGACGATTGCGCTGCGACCAGGAGGATTGGTGCCGAGGAGACATAACACTACTCAAGCCTACCGAGCGGTAGTACTTTGAATGTCAGCCCTGTATACTGCTGTGAGACTCCGTACCTCCAGGCAAGACTCGCGACATTACAAGCAACATCTGGATAACATAACAATAGGACCCCATATTGTAACAACCCCAAAATTGTTTCATCGCTTTAGATTTTTTTTTTTTTTTTTACATTGAGATGTGTTCTCAGAGATTTATTATGCATATAGTATTTAACATATCATGCAAAACTGAATCTAGTGTGGTACATGCTGGAAATGGAAAAGAAAAATCTATTTCTTACTGTATTACTATATATTAATATATTATTAAGAAAAATATGCATAAATGATTTTCTTTCTTCTTAACATAATATTGCATTTTCAATTATTTAAAAAAAAAAAATACAACGCAACTGATATTATATATGGTCTAATAAACAAATTTACACAAATATATTGTAACAAATAAATTTATATCTCAATATTACTCAATATTATATTAATGCGACAAAAAGATTTCAAAGTAGAATACTATAATATAATTATATAATTTCAATTTTTCCAACTATTTATATAAAATATTTAAATATTTAAAAAAAAAACACGAAAATTTTACGGCTTCTTTAAAAATTGATACAATAAATGTTTTGACAATATATTTAGTCAATACTTTGAAAGGCAAGATAGCCTTATAAAGTTCATTTTAACAATCTTAACAATATACATATATACATATTATGATAAAGAAAAATATTTTTATAAATATATATAAACTAGAAAATATTAATCTACATCAACCTAACTTAATTCTATGCAAAAGGAACGATCAACTATAACGATTAGAATAGAAAAGTTATACAACACAGAAGAAACTTTGCGACATGGATTTTGTCTCAAGATGCAATCACAGGGCGTCACGAGGCAACGTACGCGACAGAATCCGTCGCACATGTGTAATCAATTGAAATTGATTCCAGTCATCACGTTTCATTTTTTTCAAACACGAAAAATTCTCAAGTTCACTTGAATCTGGGATTAGGTTAAAGATTCGATGTATCCTAGTTTCTCTCGGCGGCCAGAGCAAGTCAAAATGGAAAGTTTAACAAAAGTAGCACAAATAAGTGTTACACTGGTATAGAAAGTGAGAAGACTGTTAAAATGCAAAATTGGCAGTGCGCGAGGGAAGATCACACACATCGCGTTGGTGGACGACCGTTAGAAGTTTCGGCCGTTAATGGACGAGATTCGTGGATGACTGAGGGATTTTGCCCGGAATAATCCACGCTGCAGCGTGCCAGATATCAAGGGCAAACAGATAACAGATCTCGCGCTCGGGGCGAACAGGTGCTCGAAAAAGTCATCCGAGGTAGGAGCGGAGAAAGGCGAGATCCACAGGCAAAACGCGCGCGCGAGAGAGCGAGAGAGCGAGAGAGAGAGAGAGAAATAAGCGTGGCGGTGAGGACGGCGACGGCGAGGGTGATGGTGATGGCGGTGGCGATGGCGGCAGCGACGACGATGGTGATGGCGACAACTACGATGATGATGATGCTGTTGATAACGGCGGCAGTCGAGAGCCACGAAGTAGTGGACAAG